GTGCATGTGTGTGATGTGCAGCGAAAGCTTTTAATGTATTTATTACCTTTATTAGAAGAGACGCGCCTTCATCCACAGTTAAGGGATTCCAGGTTTTACGCTAGTATTACCATGCATTTTAAAGACAGTCAATCTGAAGAATGGGAGTTCCCATCTATTTCATGGGATCAAAATAAAGCTTCTGGACGTTTCATCTGTCACAGGTGAACTGCCTGTGGTGGCGAATGCTGCTGCAATGGTAACAAGTTCTACCTAAGAGATGAAATGACTTTTTGCCGCAATGACCGAAGTGTAAATTCTGTGATGTTGAAAACCATGGTCTTGCTTTTCAGATCATTATTTATCAGAAAGTTACTTAAGTTTCTGTTTATGGCATATCTAATTTATAACTTCATTCAAGAAAGTGGCTAAATCCTACTAAATACAAGAGGAAATGAGGGTGTAGAAATTGACAGACCACATCACATACTCCCATTTAGAAAAGCTGATTGACAAATTTTTTTGTTGAATGCCAAAAGCACTTCCCAGCAGCACATACTTTCTCTTCTGCCGCCTATCAGCTGCATGGCCCACGGCCCACATAGGAGAAACCACACTAACTCAACCTGATGCACCGTACACTGTGATTGACAAGTCCTCGCAGGCTGAGGTGTATTCTGTTCCCCGACCAGCTGGAAATCTCTGAAGAAGGCAGTGAGTGGAGCATCCGATGGCTTCAGCTCTGGAGGCTGAGAGCCGACTGCAGCTCTAACAAGAATAAGGCAAATGAGCAGATGATGCTGAAGCTTATCCCAGTGAGAGCACGGAAGAAACTGGGCACATGAGCCGAGGGGAACTTGAAGAGCCTCCAAGATTCAATTCTGAGGCTGCATTTGATATCTGGGACTAGCTTGCCATGTGACAAGCTTTTGATGGAGCTCCTGGTTTTAACTGGATCCAGTTTATGCTCTGCCCTAGGATGGACTGGAGAGAAAAGACTGATCCTCCATCGTCCGAGACAAAGCAGAATAACTTAGTCCGCTAAATTGTGAATTGTAGATGTTTGTTGGAGGTAGCAATTCTAAAATAAGGAGGAAGGACCTGTGAAACTATTAGGCAAAAATGTTTACACACTTCGTTATGGGAGCATGGGGAATGTCTGGGAAGAGCCTCCAGTTAGTAGAATTTGCTCTGAGCATGGCAGGGAACCTGCCCCTGCATACAGAGCCACTGTCTCAAGTAGAAATAAAGTGTTACTCACAGGTATCCATCTCAAGTACTAATCATCAATGTAATTCTGAAGAGATTGCAATAACTTTATGAGAAAATTGAGAACAACTCATTCTTCATAAAAAAAAAAAAATACCAGTGACATGAGTACTAAAAACTGGCTTAAGTTAGTAGTAGAAAATCCCACTCTATATTCCTAACACACAAATACCCAGGGTAAGAGACTGTTTCTCTAATGTGTATATACATATGTTTATAAGTTTTAGAAATGTTATTTTATTTAGTCTTTAAATAGAGCTATTTCACAAACCCAATTTTTTAACTTGCCAACATATATATATATATATATATATATATATATATATATATATATTTCAGTTATAGAATTGTATTTAGTGACTCTTTTCAATTAAATCATGGTACCCCATCTCTAGCTCTCCTGGCTCTTACTGACAGAGAAGGGAAAACAGAGGGTGTATTTATGGCTTGAAATTAGCACAGAATGTTACAGCAATTTTCTGGCAGGAAAATCCATAAGCAATGTCCCATCAGGTAGTTCCCACCACACCTCCAACCAGCACGTGCTTTTAAAATAGGCCTAGAGATTTCCTCTCAAAAATTACTAGGTATTTCAGGACACACAGGTTTCCAAACACATCTTCCTAAATGCGGCATCATCCTTGTATGAATGTCAGTGAGAAGTGAAATGTAATTAAAGGGTTTTTCTCCCTCTCATCTGAGTGTTCTGGAAAGTACTTAGGAATTATACTTGGAAATGAATCCCTGCATACGGATGCTTTATTTAGTACATGGGGACTGAATAAAAATGAAGGGCACCTCCTCTTGTGTTTAGGGACATCATATCTAGCATTTTGCCCATTTCATTCTAAATAGTGAACAAGAGGGACATATAGTAAAATTTCTCCTCTAGTGTCCAACACCGGGGCAAGTCTGAGAGAGGCTGGTACCTCGAAATGTTTCCCTGACCTGAGGTCCCTCCTTCCACAGCGTTGGCAAGAACTCTCAGCAGCTAAGCCTGGAGAGCGAACCTCTCGCTGCACTCTATGGTTCCAAGTAGACAGCTCTAGCCTTCGGGGTGGAACGTCTCACTTCTCACTCAAAGTAAGCCTGACACAGGTATCCTGAGCCATGACTTCTTCAAAGGAATTCCCTGCCCTACCTCAGAGTAAAAGCACAGCCTACCTGCTCTGGCTTGAGGTGCACACTCCACCATGTATTTTAAAATACGCTACTTTATTTCTCAATGGTTGGATTCAACTTAATTATTAACATTACATTTCTGCTTGTGACAGAAAAAATACAATCTCGCTCCAGTCTCTTCTTAGGAGTTAAGACTTTGGTTGCTTCCCGCAATTAGACAATTAAACTCACCTCTGCACGCCTCTCAAAGCCATTCCTCCCTCAGGGAAGATGACAGACCATGGCAGTGACGAGGAGGGGTCTGGTCGGAGCAATGACGGCCCCTATGGGGTAGATCCTCCTCTCTCTGTGGGTGTGGGCTTAGGTCTGCTGACGCACTGGTCAACTCCTCACTAGAGTTTGGCAGTATCTGCAGTACGATCTCAGCCAGCCTCCAGCGGTGAGACAGGAATACTTCCTTCTCTCAACCTTCCTCTCAGGCCCCAGAATGCTCAGCAACTCTACACCCACTCAGAGAGTAAGCAGGGCTGACGCTCAGGGTTCCTCCCTATGTCATGTGCAAGCTTTGGGGAACCAAGAGGGGCCACTCTCCGGGCCTGGCTCTACCTAAATGTGCCCACGGCAGGGCACACTTAAAAGTGGTTTCTTCCCAAAGTTCCACACAGGTAAGAGGGCACACATGTCCTCTGCCTGCAGGGGCTGTTCCACTAATCTGGAGCTACAGACATCTGAATGACCCCTTAGAGGGATCTGAGGAAGGAGCATGGGTCTCAGTGACCATCCAGCCCTTAAATCGACTTCTCCTAGTGTCTGGACCCTCTCACGAACCCAGGGGAGAATGTCTCCTTTCCATTCAGAGGGGAATTGCCCTGCAGCCCCCTGCCCCATGAGCTTCATTCACATAGACATGCCTGGCCTTCTGAGGTATGGGTCCTTGGGACCCACAATTATTTTCCTCCTAACAAAGCCTGCCTCTTAAATGAAGGATTGAGCTGACTCTGGTCTCTGAAACATGCTTGAAAGGCCTGCTTGAACATCAACAGCCAAGCAAAGTACTCTTGTCCTCGGCTATGTTCTGTCCTCCCCTTAAAGTAAAAGGATCCTTAGCCTTCAATGGGGAGAGTCCCAGGGCAGCAGGAAATCGGAGAAAAAAAAAGAAAACTGACCATCAGTTAAAAATGATTCCCGCTATCCAACTGCTCATGATCAACGTCTCCAGGGCCCAGAACACTCATTAAGGATAAAAGCAACCCATGCATACACCCTTTTTTCAAAATATTTATAAATGTTTGAACCAAGAGCAATAGGGGCCAATGGGCTCCATTCTCAAATTCTTCACATCTACTGTCCCTCCTCTCTACAGGTTTTCTACTGCTGCGCAGAAATTCATTTAACAAAGATCCAACTGGAACCTTCCACCTCCCTGAGTCTCCTTATTGGAGACTCTTCACCTTTGCCTCTCTTCTACATACCTACTGGGTTAACTCCTCAGAGATCAGGCCCTTATCATTCCCAGTTCAAGCCTACAACCCATCCCTGAGCTCTACTTTGAGTTGATTCAAATGTTTTCTTTAACTTCTTAGAACACCCTGCCCACTTAACTAGTCAACTCAATACTTAACTCTAGGTCACCATAAGGCCTGCTTCCCCATTCCAAAGTCAAAAGTACTACCAATCAAAGTCACAAAACTGCCCTGAGGGGAACCATTAAAAACTCCCAAGTTCGCTGGGCCTTGTCGGCCCACTCCTTCAATCCCAGCACTCGGGAGGCAGAGCCAGGCGGATCTCTGTGAGTTCAAGGCCAGCCTGGTCTACAGAGCGAGATCCAGGATAGGCACCAAAACTACACAGAAACCGTCTCGAAAAACCAAAAATAAATAAATAAATAAATAACCCTCTACATTCCAATGGGGTGTCAATCCAGATATTTATTATGATCCGTCTAGTCACAAGCTATCCTGAAGCTGAGTGCTCTCTGAACCTTTTCTAGACTCTCCACATCCTCTTCTGTCCGTTACTCCACCTCTTCCTGCCTCACCAACATCTCCCTCATTAGTAAAGAAGGCGGCAATGAGAGCCCAGATGGATGCTTTGGAAGAACAGTCTTCCTTCTCAGGTCTAAGGAAGAACTGTTGTTGGGGCAAGGTGCTTCACCCAATGAAGAGAAAGAGCTTTGTCATGGTGGGAGAGATGATGAACAGGGAAGGCAGACAGGCTTGCCTTAGATATAGCAGACTCAATCACTTCTGCGTGCTGGACTTTCCCCGTGGTGGAGTCTGAGTGGGAACACAGTTGGGTCATGAGGAGGACTACAATCTTACAAGCATCAAGTCTCTCTGGGTCATACTTGGAAGAAATGGGCTGTAATCTATCCACTTCCAGGACAGATTGGAATAGGTAGATTAATAGATAGATTGGAATGGATAGATTAACATGCTACCAGCACGTTACAAAGCACCCTGGCTGTGTTCCTTCTACCACATTCTTAGATTCTCCCAGGCACCCCTCACTGGCTTCCACAGAATAACTCAGCCTCTAAGAGAACTATCTCCAACTCCAGCCACCTGAAAACAAGAGTATGTTCCATCATGACAAACCAGTGAGAGAATTCCTCAGTCTACTATACTTACAAAGAAAAGGGCGAGGTGTGACCCATTCTCTATGCCTCTACCCCTAATTGTAGGCAGGGTAAGAAAAGGACCACAGAATTTTCACCTAAGATGGAACACAGAATTCGAATTATTACCTGAAAAGACAATGTGGATTCTAAACTGACCCTGAGGATCCAGATATAACAGGATTATCTGAGGTACTGCTCACAAAAGGAAAGTTTTCTTGAGATACATCTCCATCCAGAAGTATTACTAAAAACATGCAAGAACACTGTAACCAGCAAGCACACATGAGCACACACAGTTGTACTCAATCTTCTCGACGCCTGCTACTAAAAGAGTATTGGCGACAGCATGCACCAAAGCGGCTGGACATGAACGAACTGGGTACCTAAGTCAGGTGGTGACATTAGATGCCAACAGAGGGCAGCCAAAGGTCCATATTGTCAGAGCTGGGTGTGGCCTCCTACATTTAAGGCAGGAGTCAGGGAAATTTTAAATCCTAGACTGTGCCGGGTTTAAAGCAAGCCACGCACCCCGCCCCCACCTCCCAAAGACCACAACAGCCTTGCCAACAACAGTGAACACCAGGCATGTTCGCGTCCGCAGCTGTCCCCCATCCATGGAAAACGTCCTCCTTCCCACCCCCTCCCCCCACGCACAGGAAACCCAGCGTTCAGGTGAGGCTAGGTAGGGGAAGCCATTAATGAGGATCCAGGGCGGCCGGCGCAGCCCACAGGTGGTTCAGAAGACGCTTAATGAACCCCTGACAAACACCGCCCAGTGTGCTGTTGTGTCTTTTGTTACAAAAATGACTAGACCGTCCCTCCTGTAACCATGGAAAACATTTTATAAAAAGCTCATTTCCTACCATTCCTTTGAAAGACAAAGAAGAGAGAGAGAGAGAGAGAGAGAGAGAGAGAGAGAGAGAGAGAGACAGAAAGGCTGAAGCTGAGCTACAGTGTCAAATCCTTACTTTACAGGACCTTAAATCTGGTATGAAACCCTCCTCCCCTGATGAAGGGATTCTTCAGATGATGCCACGTGGAGAAGGCACCCCACAGACAAAGCCGCCTTCTGTAGAGCTGAGGGGACTCAGGCCAGTGTGGAGTCCAGAAATGGGCCGGTACACCGGGGGGGGGGGGGGGGGGGGGGGGGGGGGGGGGGGGGGGGGGGGAGGCCCTACCCGCTCCCTCTGCCTCGGAGGCCGCAGGGCACACCCCCTGTACCCCAGGCAGCCCCTTCTTTCAGCATTCACTACCACAGGCTTCCAGGCTCCTCCCGCTGCGGAGCCATCCTGCAGATTCCCCCTGGCCTCGCACGTCACTCTGCAGTGTGATAGCCTCCCCCTCATGGCTTAGCCCCCCTCTCCCTTTGAAAAAAACTGCTGACGAAAAACCTAATGGCAGAGGGAAAAGACTCCACTACTTTCCTGACCACCTGAAACTTTTGGCAAAAAGCTAAAACTTCTGAACCGAGTTCTTTAAAAATACATGCCATTCTCAAGATATGATAGATCCTGAACAGTGTAGGACAATTGCTATACCTAGACCACAGTCAGTGGGAAATGCACCTTCTGCCACCAGGACACCCGAGAGCCCAGGAAGATGCCAGTCTAATAACATGTATGCAGGAAACCAGCTGTACCCGGCCTTGCTCCAGGCCCATCTAAAGAAGCATCCACTGGCCTTCTAGTTGTGGGCTGCACTACTCTAAGCTGGACAGACAAAAAGATGGAACAGCAAGTGATATGCTGGCACGAAAAGGACATCAATTTCTTGAGAAGACAGAACCGCCACATAAGGACTTTGGGAAACTAGAGAGCTGGTCTCAGCTAGATTAGCAGCTGGAGAACTAACCTGGGCAAGTCATAAAACCCCTTAAACTTGGGATTTCTCATATCAAGTTATAACTAATAACACAAGGTACTGTGTATTAGGAAGCTACTGAGAGATGTGAATACTTAATGTAAGAAAATGAAGAGACTGGGACTCTAGCTGGGCCTTGACAAACGGGAAGAATTCTAAGGGAAAGGGGCGATTAGGGGTCTAGGAGAGGGGAATGAAGGCAAGAACAGATGATCCGTGTTAAAGATATATGGGTGGGGACAGCCATCTTGGCTAAGCAGTGAGGTGAGCCAGGTTTAACTGAGGAATGACATGGGGACCTTGGAGGCTTGGAAGGCCCGTGCTCAGGAATCTGGTCTTTGGCCTCCTCCTCAGTGGGATGTTAGCACGCAGGAGGAACCAGCATCAACACCAGCTAGCTCTTGCTGACAGGAACAGTGCCTCCCCACCAATCCAGAGGCAGGGGAGTGAAGCAAATGGTCTTTGCAAGCCAGAGTCCAAAGGATCTGTATTCTGAGGACGAGGACCAGACCAAGGTGTACAATGAACTGGCACAGAGGGACCCTGTCCAGGAGGACACACGATAAACAGTAAGAATGACAAAATGTTCAGGTTTGCTGATAAGCCAGGCTGGGAGCCTGTGTCCGGAAAAACAATAAGATGCTGTGTTTGCATTTCTGGGTTAGGAAAGAAACTAGACCAAAGGACACTCTCCAAGCCGAGAGAATAACCAGAGAAACTGTGAACCCTTTCTAAAACATTCTTATGTGACTCACGTGCTGAGATTAAAATAAAATTGAGACAAAAATCAAATTGTACTAGTGTCAATATTTGGAAATGTTATGACTTTTAACAGGTGTGGACATGACGGGACAGCCTGGCACTCTTTTGCCTGCCAGTGGAGTTTGAACCGGACAGGTTGTCACAGACATGCAGACCCAAGCACCTCTTCTGGGATTTAAAGAAGGACGGGGAAAGTTCCCTGGGCTTTGTTGTGGGAAAAGAAAACTGGCTTGTTTCAAATTTTCCGTTAAAGCCCTACTTTTCCATATAAAGCAGATGGACTCCTTACACAACTTCTAAAAAGCCTGCTATTTTGGGGTGCCTCAAAGATGGGAGCTCTGAACAAAATAGAGTCTGAATTCACCAGATAAAATCCCACTAGCACATTCAAAGAGAGCAGACTTAGAAACCTTTAAAATGCCAACTGAAGAGGTCTTCTTGTGACAGAGGCCAAGGCTCCCCCAACTCTGGCTGGAGGGATCATTTCTGACAATCCCTACCTGCTCCACCATCAGAGCTGGGACTCCTTACTCAGTGCGCTCCCTGACTTCTAGAAGCTCCTCCACCTCCTTCCCATGGCTCCTCCCAGCTCCCCGAGATTTCAAAGTGATCCAGCCTGGCTGTCCGACTGTAATCAGAAAGTGGCCTGGGAACACGCATTCCAGCAGGGTCCCCGGTACTCCGCAATACCAGTACTGACATAGTGTTCTTTCTTAGGAGGGAAAACCTGGTTTTATTACCTGTTTGCTGTTCTGCAAGGGTGGAGGGAAGAATGAAAGGCCCGGTGAATGCTCTCAATACACTAGCTGTATGGTGCCGGCATGGGAGCTGCTGGGTACAGACTCTCCCTCTTGGATCACAATCTCTTTTGAGAGACAGAACAAAAGGAAAGAACACAGACATTGGAGCCAGACCACCTGGGTTCAGGTCCCCAGCTCTGCCACTTATCAGCCTTGACAAAAATCACATAACCTCTATGCTTCCGTTTTCTTGTTAAGTGGGGCTAATAACATCATGGGACAGTGCCGTACGCTGCCCTGGCTAATCACCGCCACACACCCCTGGTTTGCCAAGGGCTTCCATGTCACTGTCAAAGTCCAGGCCTCCTTGTCCCCCACCCACCTGCCTCCCTCTGCGGCATGAGTCAGGCTGTATGAGGGTGACAGGAGGTGGTAAGCAAGTGCTGTGGGAGCTCTGAGGGAGGGTGCAGGGGGCTTCTCAGGAGGTGAGTCCTCACTGGCTACATCAGGAGTGACGTTCTCACGGTGGGGTAAAGGTGCCTGTCTGTCCCCTAGCACGTGACACAGTAACTGCAGAGCAGAGACAAAAGGACAGGGACGAGGTATAAACAGCCTTCAGAAGCAGGCAGCACCCAGGCCCGGCCTCACTAGCTATGAGCTGTGTGACACGTGCCTCGGTCTCCCCGTGTGACTAATGGGGATAATAATATTGTCCCTGTCACAAGTTGTTGTGATTTTTAAAAAATTACTGTGTGTAGAATGGCAAACACAGGCCTCCAGGGGTCAATAAAAGGCTGGTGTGATCTGTCCGGCAAATTCAGACAGGAGCCAAGCAGCCGAGGTAAGGTGTGTGCATGTTTTTATTACCAACAGAAACGGTGAGGGGAAGTGCAGGACCAAACCACGCAATTCTCGGGAAAAGGTTTTGGAAGAAGAATGAGCAATAACCTAAGCCTTTCTGACACTGTCATTATTTTTTCCTCACAAAAGTTTACAGGAAATAGATGCTCAGTAACTACTTTCCCAAGACAGCACGGTGTTGCTTGAGATTGTGGGAAAACTAATGCGCAACAGGATCTGTACTTCCTAAATGCACCCAAGAAGACCAAGGCGGCCTCCCATCCCGAGGGAGGTACAGGGCAGGCCCTGTGGAACCAGGTGGAGACCAATAGAAGTGTTCTCATCTGAATGTCACAACTCCGAGTCTAGCAAACACTGTTCAAGTTCCATGAGTCAGGGAGCATTATCTTTTCTTCCCACGTTTTTATTAGGCCGTAAATCCAGTTCAATTTATATCCTTCTAGGATTACTGTGTCCTAATCAAGTCCGAGTGTCACTTACCCCGAAGCTGTCTATACCGCATGTCACCCAAGCCCATCTAGATAATGTTGTTGAGGCTACTCAGACTGTTTTAAGAGCTAAAAATTAGATTTGCTCAACTACAAACTCTGGAAGATGATCATATTTCTCTAAATAACCCAACTCTTTTTTTTCTTTTCAGAAATCCAGTGCATGGATTTTCCTACTTTGTAGCTTCTTTTTCCTCTGCAAAATCAGGATACATTCGAAAGTCCAACTCCAGGGACTGAAGTGTAAATAGGTTACAGTTCTGGTTGTCAGATGGAAACAAAGAAACCCTTTACAGGGTTGACTCCGGAATGCCTTTATGT